GTAAGAATTTAAATCTCAGTTTAGCAAACAAGCTCACTCCAGGGTCCTAGAATGCCATCTTTCAGCATAATATATTTTACAGGCTTATTTCCATTGTAATATTATAATTGTGCTCCTGGGGGAAAGTGGGATGACATTCATAAGAAAGTTTTACCTCATATCACATTTATTTGTTCACGATGTATTATCCCTTTATTCCAAATTATGTACATAATCTGTTTAGGTTGCAGCATGAAAATGCAACCATTGAATTAACTGCTAATGTACAATAGGAACACAGTGTTAATTAGTTGAATCATCTTTAATTAGGTTATATCTGAAATTTGTTCTACAGAGTCATGTCTGATGAGTTGACTAACTCCAGAGCAGTTCTCCAGCGTCAGGCCAGAGATGCACACAGTGCAATTCAAGATCTGTTAAATGAACGTGATCAGTTTCGCCAAGAAATGATTGCTGCACAAAAGTATGAATATATGTGTTTTTTAAGTATCTGAAAGACATTGCTTTAAATCCCAGTTTAGCCATTTTATGTAGCAGCTCTGGATTATTGATATTTAGAAATAAAAATTTACTTCTAATTCCATAGACTGAACAAAAATTCTATATAATCAAATTTCTGTCAGTAAAATACAGGCAAATATTATAAGTGTCTAAAACACTTTAGTAAAAACAATAACATGCAAGTAGAAAATAATTGTATTAGAATGATCATATGTATGTAAAGCTGTTCTCAGTTGACAAAACTTACATATACACACTAAACAATCTGACCCATTAAGTTATTGTTTCAGTTGAGTCATTGTTCCAGGCATGTCATCATTTTCAGTTGTGTCATTGTTTCAGTTGTGTCATTATTTTTGGGAGCAAGAATGATTTCCAACTTCCTGCTGTCTTTCCAACTAACTTTGTTTTTGGGGAGTTTGGAGAGAGAATGCCAATGGGGAAGCCAGCAGGGAACTTTAGCAATAGCAATAGCAGTTAGACTTATATACCGCTTCATAGGGCTTTCAGCCCTCTCTAAGCAGTTTACAGAGTCAGCATATTGCCCCCAACAACAATCCGGGTCCACATTTTACCCACCTCGGAAGGATGGAAGGCTGAGTCAACCCTGAGCCGGTGAGATTTGAACAGCCGAACTGCAGAACTGCAGTCAGCTGAAGTAGCCTGCACTGTGCCACCTCGGCTATTAACTTTGCAAAGTGCTCAGGCAAGTCTCCCCCACCTGTGCACCCTACCTTTGTGCTTATGCCATGCCAGCAACCTGTACATCTCTGCGCCCCCTCACACACATACCCTGATCTACGGCGCCTCTTATGCACCCTCCCAACCATTGCCTCTTCTTACCGGCCTGCTGGCCTTAGACTTGCATCTTTCTGCCAACTTCCTTGTTGATTTTGCTTGTGGGAAACTGACAGGAAATGTTGGAAATGAGAGTCATGGGATTGTGATTGGTACAACAGGACATTGGTGTGGCAGTTCAGCGGCATTGAAACAGTCACAACTTTTCCAAATTTCAATGTCAGTAGAATAAAGTGTTCCGGATTTTGTAAGTTAGACCAATTGAATTACCTTGATTCAAAAACTATTGTGATTAAGAAACATTGTTTTGCCCAATTGAAGTTACAAATAGAAAAACAAACACAAGGGTTTTAATAGTATACTAGCTGATAACCTGGCATTGCCTGGGTATTTATTTATAGAGAAAATGTCCAGACCAAACGTAATTTCTAATGTTGAATTTTCCCCCTTCCTAGAGGGAGCCCCCTTGTGGAGTACTGTATTGCCATTACCATGGCAACTCCACTGTGCTGCATAGTAGAAGCCATTTTACAGCAGTACAGCAGAAGTCATTTTAAGGCACAACAGGATGTATCTTAACACACACCCTGAGGGGTTTTAGTGGTGTCTTACCCCCCACAATATTTCTTTCCAGAGAGTAAGTCATCTGTGTACCAAGCTTGGTTGAAATTGCTCGAGGTGTTCCAGAGTTATGCTGGAACATACACACACACACACATACGTACACACACACACACACAGCCATTTAGATGATAGATAGATGATAGATAGATAGATAGATAGATAGATAGATAGATAGATAGATAGATAGATAGATAGATAGAAGTAGGCGCATATTGCTTGTATAGAGAGAATGACAGATGTATACAGAAAGAATTGAAAGCAGTGTCATTGCCCTAAAATGTACTTAGTAGCATAGATTATAAAGTATTAGAGCAAAACCCATTCTCTATGACAAGAGATCTGCCATCCCTAGTTATTAGGTGCTTGTGTAACTTAATTTTTTGTTCTATAGTCTGTTTATCTTACATTTTGTTCTCAAATTATCCACAACTAAGAAACTTCATTCTAACAAAATTTGAAAATGGATAATAGGTCTGGGTGAAATTTCTGTCCCATATGCCTGATGTGAGTTGCAGGGCTACCTATGCAAGGAAAAATATTTTTCTTCCCAATGATTTTTATCTCTTTCGAAAATAATCCAGAGTTGGTCTGTAGTTTTCTGCCCTTCCTGTTATGCAAAGGCCATAATTCAACTTTACACTAATTTTTCCCATCCAAAATTGTAACCAGAAGCTACGTAGTCTATTTCTTTGCATCACTAGCAAAACTATAGATAGCAATTTTTGCTCTTGGATAATTTAATAACCTTTCTATATCCCTCCTTCTCCTTGACTCTTTATCCTGTTGTTTCTGTAGTCCACCAACTTTCCTGATGGTCTATAACATTTGTAATTGAAACTGGTTTATTTCCATTGCAGATTATTAGAGGAACTCCTAGTTTCTCTACAGTGGGGAAGGCAGCAGACATACTACCCTAGTGCACATCCTCATAGTACGGTGGAATTAGCTGTTGTAAATCATAAGCTTGCTAGAGCAGTAACTTCACATCTACTTGGAAACTCTAGTATTGCTAACAATCCAAAAAATGGCTCTTCATCCACAGAAGTCTGCACTACCCCTGCTGAGAAAATGGCTGAAATGGTAAAAACTATTTTACATAATAGCATGCTATTCTCTTGTGCATTAAAATTTTTCAGATTTACTTACTAGAAACATGAAGCAGTACCTTTTTATTGCATAATAACAAATGCTATGACTTAATAAGCCTCCACATTCTATTATTCAGTATTAATATTCTACTGTACTGCATGGCAGTATAGTTTTCTACTGTTCATTTGCCAGACAAGATATATATTTAGGGATGGTCAGAGCAAGGTGGCAGTTGATTCCTAGAGCTACACCTCTGTAATTGCCCACATCTACAGTAGATTGCTGGTAGAAAGACCTGAGGAAGTTTTGCCTTGAAGGTAATCTAAACTATGGTTGTAGTTTAAATTGCAGTAGCTGAGGGTAATAGAAAACCTGATCTGAGAATTGTTTGGCTTCTGCTGGGCAGACAAGTTTGCATTCCTGCTTGTTGTCCAGATAGCAGTAGTAGAAGGAATTTGTGCCTTTTATGTCAGATGCAATCATTTCCAAACTAATTGTATCTGAATTATAATAATTTTGCAACTCCTGCATTATTGTTCAGTTAATACAGACCACTCTTGAAGAGTTTGTGCAAAGTTCAATTGGTGTAAATTGTGGCAGCTTCATGATACTGATATGTGATACTAAGATAATACATTGGGTTCTATTCACAATTTTAAGTTGCTGATGTTAATGTTTAAGGTAATAAACAGGTTTAAGAAGCAAACTCTTTATTCTGTAGAAAATAAAATCTTATAGAAATGCCACTTTATCTCTAAGAAGTAAATTGTAAATAAAAGAGAGGCCTTTCTCTTGCGTAGGAATTGAACTTTCTAACTTTAAAAAGTTAGATATCCCTTTATCTAGATATTTCAGATTGTTTTAAATGTTTTAAATATTTTTACCAAAATAAACCACTGTGATTCATTGCTGTTACTATTTTCCAGGTATTAAGAATGCTGGATTCTGGCAAATGTACAGAAGTATCAGAACTTTCTTTTTCTGAGCCTTCAACAGCATCTTTTCTTTCCCCAAAGAAAAATATTGGACGGTTTCATCCCTACACTAGATATGAGAACATAACTTTCAACTGTTGTGATCACTGCAAGGGAGAATTACTTGTTCTTTAAAAAAAAATCTTATTTGGTAGCAATGGTTTCAGATTCTGATGAAGCATACAATCTTTGTGCACTTTTATTTTCTGTACTTTTATCTAAGGAGGATTGGATTTTGTGCTGGGATTATGTCTTTCATAAAGCTTTCAGGATTTTAATGTTCTGCTGTCAAATTCTTCTTTGTGGCAGATTAAATTTGTAACACAATGTCAGTTATTCAATGCCAACCAAGAATGTATTAGAGAAATATTCCATGCTGTAAAAAGAATTATAGAATTTGCGTATCAATGTTTCTTCTTTAAGAGAACACTTGAGAATATTAGAAATATCCCATGAACCTCAATTTTATTCTTCCTTAAAAAGATATTTCTATACGTGAACTATTTTATTTTAGAATTAGGGTGGGTGTTTAAGTATTTTCTACAGTTGATTTCCTTGCCTGTTACATGGGCAAGTTAAAATGCATATTTTAATGAAAACAGAAAATGCTTCTTTAGCTATAAACTGTACTTTAAATATCTTAAGTGATGGAGCTGATTTGGTGAGATTAAATCTAATGCACAACATTTATGTCAAATAGTAGCAACAGCATTTATGCGCAAACTACTGGAGATGTGCCTCTGAGTTCACCTTTTCTACAGAAGGGTTGGTTTTGACATAAAAAGTGGGAATGACTATCCCTGAGAGATTAAGTAAAAAGGTTTTAATGGTGCTATTGAACTACTCTTCTTGTATCTCTTTTCTCTAATTTGTAAATAGGCAAAAATATACTGTCATCACTTTTAAAAAACACTTCCTTTGTAAATCTCTCTTTCTTGACAGTGGGGATGGGGTTGGTGGTTTAATTTGCAATTTCTCAATAACACACCAAATACCCTGGATTATTTACAATGGGACTTCCAGATAATGCTATGGCATAGTATTATGCAGCCATTTTTTTGTTTGATACAGCTGTGATTGGTGGTATAGCATCTCTAACCAAATTCCAGGTATGAAAATGGTAAGTTGGGAGATAAACTAATTCTTAAAAAAACTACACCATATTTACAGGAGGAGTATTTATTTTATGTAAGTTTTATAGAACTGAGAAGGCAATCCCGATCTATTCACAAATAGATAGTTATTCCAAGTTTAAGATGGGGAAAATTACTAAGATAGAGAAAATTAAGCCATTATTGAAGGACTTCAAAACATTCCAGAAGAGAAACCACTTCCAACAGGCAATCTCAAGCGATGCAAGATATTCTGGAATACTAGGGATCCAGGGCTTCTAAATCTCAGCAGTACTGATCTGGAAAGCGAAGGGACTTTGGTTCAGAAATTGAATGCAGAATATTTTCTATTTGCTTTGCTCTTCTGGCTTCTTGCCTAAACTGTTTGGATCGTTCTCTAGCAACTAGTTGCTCTTCTCGCCTCTCACGTCTCTTCCTCCTTAGCCATCTAGAGAGAAATAAAAACATATTTAAAACTGAATATGAACTGACACTTTATTTTTGCTGCTTATGTAGTACAAGCAGATAACCTATCCCTAAACAGATATTCTGGGATAGAATTATAGATAATTGTCTTATTAGACAATTACCTGTGATTTGGACTATAGTTCATAATATTGAGACCAGTAAGTATTTTGATGATAGTGCACTTATTCAGTAACATAACATATCATGCCCTAGCTTACAGAGAAATATAAGCTTTTTGGTAAAAGAGTGAATGTTGAATCTGAAACTATTTTCATCAAGCAATAACCAGATTTCATTTCTATTGTTACGGGCCATGATCTAAGGCCATGATGGCGAACCTATGGTACGCATGCCACAGGCGGCACATGGAGCCATTTGTCAGAGAGCATGCAAGGTGTTGCCCTGTTAGCTGGCCAGTGCGCATGCTTGTGCTGCCAGCTGACTTCAGACTTCTTTTGAGACCGTTTTTCGCCCTTCCCTGAAGCCTTCAAAGTGCGAAAAATCGGCCCTATGGGCAAACCGGAAGTTTGGGAATGAACTTCCGGTTTGTTCGTAGGACCGTTTTTCAGCCTCCGGAGCCTTCAAGGAAGCCTGAAGGCTCCGGAGGTTGAAAATCCAACAGGGACCAAAAATCATCTGCTTCCTGGATTAAAAATATCCAGATTTTATTAAAATAATATTACATTGGTTCCTAAAATGAAAAACAAAAATACGTACTGTTTATAAGCTTTGTCATTTTCAGTTCTTGGAAGGAAGAACATGCCCTCTTCTTGCTCCTTCAGCGTTTGCATCTGTTTTTCTTTCATCTGGTCCTGCTGCTTTCTTTTAAGCCATAATTTGAAAGCTTCATCTGGATTTCTATTCTCCTATTTAAAATTTAAAAATATATGTATATTTAAAATTCTGAAATGTATACTGATTCTTAGTCATGAGAATAATTTTATAGCTGTATGTCCTAAGCTGAAGGTTCGATACACTGTAATCTATTAAAATCAAAAGAGAAGGTATTCGTGATCTGGTTAAGATTCATAGATGTATACCTGCCTTCCAGAATAATATCAGAAAAGTGGAAAAGGGAGAGATTACATCATAAACACAACCTAAAAATAATTCACACTAACAATCCCATCTTAATCATTATTCCATATTTAGTGAGAGTGATACACTGGATACAAATCTAGTCATCTGCATGTGTTCCGAGGCATTTTAATTTTTGTAATTAGCATTTTTATTTTATTATTTTTATGAATAATGGGTGGTTTGGTCTCATGGTTAAGAGACCAGGTAAGAGCGGGAAACTGAGATCTAGTCTCACCTTAGCCATGAATGCTGAGTGGGTGACTTGGGGCCTATCACTTTCTCAGACCAACTCACCTCAAAGGGTTGCTGAGGGGAACATAGGTAGGAGGAAAGTATGTTGCATGTTAGTGGCCTTGAATTATTTCTAAAAATAATAAAGGTAGGATACAAATAAATAACTGAAGGTGAAGTACATACATAACATTCTCTGCTATTTTCCTCACAACAACAACTCTGTGATGTGGCTTTTGCTGAGAGAGAGAATGACTGGCTCAGGGTCACCCAGTTAGTTTTCATGCCTAAAATGGGACTAGAACTCAACTACCACTTTCTAGCCTTAAGCCTTAACCACTAGGACAAACTGGCTCTGGTTTCAATTCTTGGGTTGTACAACTTGTTTTTAAATTCACTGCCTTGCTGCATGATTCATTTCTCTTGAGCTTCAGTTCATAGATACCCTCACAATTTCCTATAGAATTTGCTGATACAACTCAGAATTCATAGTTCTATCAATTGTCCTGGTCCAAAGGCAGCAAAGCAGGCTCAATCGTGATACTGTCATCACCATGTTTCACAGATTGGATAAACCCTAACATGGTCTTTTACAAACACTGGACAGGCAGCAATGTTCTTTTTGGACAATAATGACTTTCTCCTTGCAACTGTCATGTAAAAGCATGTTTCAATGTTCTCCTGATGATGGTCTCATGAACAGTGACATTTGTTTGTACAAACTTTTTTGTAACTTTTTCCAGCTTGGTCAGCATCAACAACTGTTTTTGGGAAGTCCTAAGAAATCACCTTAGTTCAAGCCATGACATATTTCCACATTACCTATGTTATGAAGATCAGACTTTCATAGGGAATATCCACTATTCTGTTCTTTAATAAGACAGAACATCCCACGTTTATACCTGATTATCATCCCATTGATTGAAACACTTGGCTCTAATTTTCCCTTCAAATGGATCCTAAAGGTTTGTATAGTGCAGTCACACAAACATGTATCTAGTTTTTGGTTATTTTCTTCAAAAAAATCAATAAACAAGTATGTTTTTGACTCATTCATTTATTATCTCCATCTAGTTTCAGCACTTGTGTGGAGAACATATCTCATTTTACGTCTAATTTGTCAGGACCAAACCCAAAGAGTCATAGTGAAATCCAATTGAGTCCAATCCCTTATCTGCTTACACACAACCATCAGAATCTTATCTAACTAAAGCTATAACTTCTAATTTACTAGATACATCTTGAGAGACTGTAGGGGCTATAACTACCCTAAACCTTTCTTCCTTTTATCCAGCTGGGGACTGCACAGTCTCTTAACTTGGGCTTCTCTCTGATGAGACTTATTGCCTCCTTAGGATAGGAGTTGTGTGTTGCTATAACTCTTACCCACTGATTGTCTGTCTGTGTTGTCGTACTCTTACCCACTGATTATTCATGTACATATTCCAGCAGATATTTATGCAGAAATATTGAAAATTCAGAATGGTTCATAAACTTTTAAATACTTTACATAACTCAATTTACATAACACAATTTTATTTTCAAAATATTAGCATAAATATTTTTTATTAATTTACAAAATTAACATTCCATTATTTTTATAACAAAGTGGCACTCTAGACAATTTCTGATGTAAGCAAGGAATATGCATCTAGAAACTGAAATTTTGCATTTGTTTTTAGGATATATTTGAGGTTGGGGAGATATCCACACAAACAAGTTGCACAACAAAAAATTCAATATTGTTTAATAACATGCCAATTTGGCTTCTAAATAGCTGATCATTATATTATCTGTAAGTATGTGATCCTAGATTTATCCTTCACATACAAACAGCTGCATCTAGAAATAAAAAGCTGAATTCTATCCATCCCCATCAAGAAAACTTGCTTTAAACTTTTAAAACTGAACCAACCCACAGAAGAATAATGGAAACTTCATCTTACCCTGCTGTTTAAGTTCTCCATTTCCTTTGCACGCTGAACTCTTTTCTCCTGCAGCATTTGGCTTTTTTTCTTTTGTAGCCAAGCCTGGAAGACTCGGTCATTTTCTTTCTTTTTTTCATCTTCTAGCATCTTTTTTTGGTTTTCTTCCTTGCATTAAAACATTGACAAATAATGACAATTTTAGGGCAAAAACCATTCAAAATACAAAGAATTATGAACAGAATGGAAATTGTAGCTAAGTAGTTTTCCATCACAGGAGCTTCATATTTTGATTTTGATACAGAATAGGCAAAACAGATATGATTTGCAGCTGTTCTTCCACAAGTTAACCCCCATCTCAAGGTCCCCTGAAAGCTTGGAAACATTGAAAATAAAGGAAAACTGGCCCAAAGATTGTAAGCAGGAGCAGGAACTGCCCAAAATCACCTGATCTCTCATTCTGAGATACTCTACAGGACCAAAAGACAAAAAAAAATGAAATTAGAGGTAATCATTTTTTTTGTTTTTATCCAAAGATGCTATAAGAATGGAAAACACAGTAGAATTTCAAAATTAGTAAAATTATCAATTGCAGTGAAGCCTCATGTTACTTGATGATTCATTACAAATGGCTTCCCTCCTCCCTTGAACCATTTCTGCTTTAAGAACTGCAACACAGTCCATTCAATATGTGGTCATACAATACCCTGAATCACAAACCAAACGTTAGTGTATGTGGTTTTATGAATCAACTTTATGTTGTTAATTTATGGTTCGGTAAGCCCAGGAAATTGAGGTACACTAAGTAAACTACCATTGCATAACAAAAACAAAGCCAGCAAGGGAAACTGACCTCTGGACACAGACTTAAAAAGGGAATAGTATTAGCAATGTTTTAAAAGATGAAACAGAACATACTAAGTTTAAGATATGGACAAGCAGGATTTATTTTAACATTTATTCTCAAGTCACTCCTGTTAAAAAAATTTAAAAAGGAGTTTTCAAACACAAATAACTGCATAACAGAAGACGACAGCTAAACTGTCCCCATATATAAAACCTGTACTCTTAACATTATTTGCAAGAGGAACAAATATGAAGGGTATTCTTTGTTTCGATATCCTAATTGTAGATTTGTAAAAGTAATTACATCATTAATATTCTCACCTCTCTTCTTATTTTCTCTCTTCTTTGCTCTATTTGTTTTTGCAGCTCTTTTTGCCTGGGTGATAAGCAGAATGTAGAACTTCTTACACCAAGTCTCATATTTGCTGACTGGACCCTGCGAGGGCTTCTTCCCCGTTCTATATTCCTCGTAATATTGATGGCAGAGCTTGGTCGAATAGGTGGTGGTTGAGGGAAAAAAAAATATCGTTCTTTGGAAGGAGAACAAGTTGTTATAGGTGTTTGCAAGAAGGACTCGTCTTTTGGACCAAAAGCACTAGCATACGAACTTTTAGAAGAAACATGTTGAGTTTCAATGTCACTGAAAGAAATACTCAGAGGAGGAAATAAGCCTTGACTTTCAATGTCGCGGATACTCAAGAGTTCAAATTTCCCATCTCTTTCTACTAGGATCTTGCCATCTTTGTGTTCATCATCCATACCACCATTAATGGACAGAGCTATATCTTCCTGTCCTGTTTCATTAGAAATGCGCAACTGAGACAGTCTACCTGCAATGTTTTGTTCCCTGTTAGGATCATTTTTATCCCCTTCTGTATTTGTCAGAGATGGTACTTCTAGTTCTACTATACTTTCGTTGAATTTTAGTTTTCTTTCTTTTGTTTCATCTAAAGGGTCCTGACCCAACAGAAGTTTGTTAGCTTCTTCAATTTTTTCTAAGATATAACGCTTTATATCTTCTTCATCATCTTCCTCCTTGTCTTCTAGCCTTGATTCCTGACCAGAGCTTTCGCTATCTGTATCAGATGCTGGTTCTAATGCCTTAGGATCAAGTTCAAATATAGAATGTATTTCATTTTGTGATGCATCATTTAGAGCTTCCTCAGGCTCAGGAGGTTCTTGTGAAGAATTTCGTTCCTCATCCTTCAGTATTTCTTCAGGCTCAAGAGAATCTTGTGAAGGATTTTTTCTATCTTCAAAGTCTTTGTCAGTGTTTGTTTCGAAATCCTCTTCATTGTCATCATGATTCTATGAAAAAAAGATATTATTTATACAAAATGTAGGAGGCAATATGCACAGTACATGGTTCATGTACTATTTAAAGCACAATTTGTTTGACCATGATTTATTGGATGACAATTGATTTTTAAACTATGTAAAGCTGGGAATACCAGTACATAATTTTCTGATCTGAGGACTGCTCTAAGATTTTCCATAGTAGTCTATGCATCAAATTTCTATTTTTTTTCATTTATATTTAATTGAAATCAAATATAGTTAACATAAATGTTTCCATTTATGCTTTTAATATTTCTCCTTTTATCACATTAAACATCACATGATTTAGTAACAATTTTTGGTGGACTCACAAAAGCTTTGGAGGGACTTCAAATCCTTGGGGCTTCAGATTGTGTACCACTGAACTAAATTGTAATACTATACAAATTGCAGTGGTTAGACTCATAAAACACAGTGACCCAAAAGTAAGCAAACACCTTATTAATTAACATGATGGTGACTGAATGTCGTTTGGCATTTAAACATAAACCATTTAAATTTAATCCTGCATTCAGCGACTCTTCTAGTCAATCTATATTACATATCTTTGTTCTATGTATATTGGTATAAGATTATATTCTCTTAATACCTGTATATCATCAGAAATTTCTTTTTCTTCTTCATTAATTAGCCACTCAAGATCTTTCTCAAAATCATCTTCATAGTCACCACCTTCTGTGGTATCTCCCGTGTCTGTAGATTCACTGGTTTCTTTTTTGTCACTCATTGTGGATGTTTCTTAAAATAAAACTATAAAAGTAGAAAACATTAAATTACAAATAGCATATACCAATTTATATTGTAACTCAATAAATAATGACAATGAAATGTAACTCAATGAAATATCTGTCCTAATTATCTCAAAATATTAACATCTTATTCTACAAGTTTATGTTAAGGCAACAGAAAATTAAAAATAGAATAGAATCAATTAAATTATAGCAAGTTTTACAAGCACATTCACAGAAGACCATGGTAAGACAATTGTTTAGCAATATAATATAGCACGGCATCTAAGTATTTGACCAGTTCCACCAAGGAAAAGTACTATTTATTTGAAATGAAAACAATCCTGAGTGCTATACATTCTCCTCAAAGGAAAATAGGCAGATTTATTATATAGAAACAGATCAAAATCTTATGCAATACTCAATTTTCTCCCATGACAACTTTGGAAACTAATTCCTACTGAAAGCAATCTAACTCAAATTTGCTTCTATGTATGTCTGTGTGAATAAACATTTGCTGGAAGCCATACTTCAACTGAAGAGGGAAGAAAAGACAAGAAACCCTGTTTAGATCCTACAAAAAGATGTACATTGATCAGGCAAACAATGCTCCTAATCAATATTTTCATTCTAAACTTCAAGACATCAAGGGTATGTAGTGGACATATCAGAAAGTAAAAAAAAATTGGACAAAAATACATACATGGCTGGAAAAAAATGATAAAGCAGCATATTGATTTGAAACCAGAGACACTCAAGGTCCCTTCCAACTCTGCTATTGTATTGTATTGAGGTATCCATCATTCTGATCAGTTGAAAGAAAGGAATAATAACATTGGAAGACGGAGCTTATAGATCCAATATATTATAATCCTGCTTTTCTGTTTCTCTAAATACATTTTTAGAAAAGGCATTAAGCTCACATGGGCCATTTTAGAGTAGTTCTCATTTAGCAACCACAATTAGGACCAGAATCTAGTTTGTTAAGTGAAATCACAACCATCTTTTGATCTTACTTCTGCTTTCCTTTGCTCTACAGACCTGCAAAGGTCATAAAACTAAGGATTGGTCATAAAGTTACACTTTCATTACCGTCATAACTACAAACAGTTGCTAATCACTAAATAAGGAGCCCCTGTACACAAATTAGAGAGGCATCAAGTCAAGTTCTAGTCTTGTTAACTATATGGACAAATACTTGATTCTCCTTTAGTTATACTTTACAGCTCTTCCGAGAAGATCCTAGTAATTTCTTCTCCTCCTCACTACCCATTTTTTCTTCTATTTTTCTCACTTTATACACCAGTATTTTGATCAATCCTAAAAAAAATCAGTCTTCGGCTCCTAATAAAGATTTTATCTCATTAATTTCCACATGTAGTCCACTTAGTCAAATGCTTTGAGTATACTCTTTAGAAATGTGTGTCTTACACACACACACATATATATAAACACGCGCGCGCGCACACGCACACACGCACACAC